TGTTCTAGAATAATAGAGTTCGCTTTTATTGAATTTAATGGTAACTAATTTTTCTTGAGCGAAACGAGGGTAAACCGGCGTGTGTCAATAAAAGTACAGATTCATATACGTATTTTTTTTCTTTTAAGAGGTATAAGTATAAATTTCCGAATTTTCCTCCGTTCTCAGTTTTTCCACCCTCCCTTGCTTCGTGCTTGATTAATTGCGGTAAGAAGTCGTCGTGACAAAAGCTGCTACTTCTTTCTCGGTTTAAATGGAAACTCGTTATTGGAAATGGTAGGAAGATAAAGAAATTCCTAATAATCAAACAATTTGTGCAGAAAGTTTTGAATGTGACGGGAGGGAAAGCGGGAGTAAAAGTTGATGAAGAATGGCCGAAACTTTTCGGGATTTGTTTCGGAACTTACGGGTGTCACTACACTAAGTTTGAGAAATGGCATTCATATTTCAGTTTATATTTTGATAAGCGCTCCGGCATTAACATAATCTCGAAGAGTTACGCTTTTTCATCTTGAGTCGTTCCGTATAATAAAATAAAACAGAAATGATTTATGATAATCGTTCCTCGCCTAAAGACAACTCGTGAGCATCCTTCCTACAAAATTTAAATTAGCTGCTTCTTTTTAATCCAACTGTAAACCGATACTAACGCAATTTTTGTACTCAATTAGGACCAGTTAATAATTCATTGTCCATGACACATGACCTAAGTGCCTGATTTACATAAGGTACTCATGCATGTAATTAAATAAGTACTTTGTACACTTGCAGAATGATGGTTGGCTGCATAAGGGGTTGTAATGAAACACTCTGTAAATCTCAATATTTTCTTCGAATTTATTATCACTGCTCTTAATAATTTACTAGCATATCGAAAAACCAAGACAAGATTAACGTAGCTTTGACCTTGATCTTGTTCTAGCACACTTAGTCTTGGTTTTCGTCTTGGTCTTAAATAGTACGAGTTAGTCTTACTATATTAATAGTTTAGAAAAGTTAAACATATATGTATAATATATATTCTCCGTTTGCAACCTTGTACTTTCAAATTTTTCTTTACCTTAGCGAAGTTTTGACTTTTTTAGACATCTTTTCGAAGTGAGTTAGTTTAATATGAAATATTATTCTGAAAATTTTTTATCTTAGACAAATTGTTTTAACAGGCTTTTCTGTATTTTTTATGGTTTAACAAAAATCCATGATATTAATTTGATTATTTGAAAGACGCAAGCAATTATACTTTAATAAAAGAATTTCCAGTTACTTTTCCTCCATACGATCTATTTGAAGGACAGCCGTATTTACTAAAAAATAATTAAAGTAGCGTAGACTTGTATTTCCACTTTATTTTAATTATCGTAGATCTTTTAAAGTTCATGTTGCGACCGATTCTCAGATAAGGTGTGGGTGTATTTAAATGTAGACCAATTAATTCCATTGCCTCTTCTTTCAATATAACTTCGCACATAAACTCGCCAGAGTTCGCTTTCCACGACCAAATACAAGATGCAAAAAGTAAAATCCTGATTGATTTTTACGGCTAATATGTTAGAGTTAATTAAAAAAAAGTAGAATACGAATTAGAAACAGAAGCAACTGTTAACACATTGACTGATATATTGTGAGTAAAATGATAATAAAGTAATTAAATCCTACAGAAATACTTTAAAAAATTGTTAATTCTATAAATGCCATACAAATTTCTGATATACGTGATCGTAGTTTTTGACAAATGCGTAGTTAGTATCTGTGATAAAAAAAATACCATCAGCATCCACGAGGGGTGGTTCATTTCTAGTAGGAAATCAATCAGCACACTTTATTTACTCAGTATGCATTATTACTTTTCCGAGAAAGTAAGTTTCATATGTGTCTAAAAAGAAAAATGTAGACCAAAACCTTGTCAACAGTGATTTTAAAACGAAGGTAGACCTACAATATTTCCTTTAACTATGAGAAGATTGTTTAAAAGTGAAGTGGCTTGATGTATTATCTTCTCCAAAAATCAGATTTCCATATTAATAGTAAGAAAACAGTGAATATTAACTTCAAAACATTTAAAAATAAAGCAAATAGCTGTCCTACAGTTCATTGTGCGCAACACTCCTTTTAGAAATTGTAAAAGCTAAGGATTTTAAATCTATAGCTTTCCATAGGTAAAAACGATTTCCCCGCCTATGCTCTTATACATAAATTTAACCATTTATCTTTTTTACATTCTTTGATACACTGATAAGCAATAAACATCACATGGTTTCTGTTTGACAAGTAGAAGCCTTTCACTGAGCTTTGTTTAACATTAGGAATCCTGTATATTAATACTATTTCTGATATAGATGGCGACTTAGTGTCTTATTCGTTGTAATAACTTTACATTCATAAATGTTGTTTTGCAATAAAAGAAGTGACTGAAAGCCTTTTCCATATAAAGGAAACTTTTCTGAAAATATTAAAACTTAAATTTAATTTAATGTTAATGTTTTCAATTCTATGTATGTATAGAAATACGCAATTTTTATTTTTACTTTTTCCTTAGGACAATGGTTTATTTGGAATACTTATTAATGCGCTTTATTACCTAAGCAATGCACTTATGTCTTTTAAATTAAATCCAGGATGACTGAATGCTGTGTAGCAAAGAGATAGTAGAGATAAATGCGAAAATCGAAAGAAAACCATCTCAAAAAATTGAATAATATAAAATAAGTCAACATTTTTGTTAATTTCACACTTCATTATTAATCCTGCAAGATTAAGATATCTGAATACGCTATCATCAAGTCAGAACTATGAAAAATAAAAAGTTCTTATCATTTTTATATACTACACACCTGGTGGTCTAAAGTAAAAAATTTTTGTTACTTAGAAATTAATAAATGTACGCAAATAATAAATGTAAGCAACTGATCGCCGCATCCCCTTGGGGATAATATGGTACGCCAATCTTCGACTCCCAATTTCTGAAGAAACTTTCGGTTAGGAACTGCAGGGGTTGAAGATATACATGTCAAAAGAGGTTATTACACTATCACACTATGTCAGCTGGAAGTTGAGAGTGCAAGAACGTTTCTGAATGTTCTGGAATGTTCCAGAAACAAGAAACGGAAGCCCTAAATGCTTTAGAATAATCTAGAATGCTTCATTATTAATGTTGTTATGTCCGAGCTAGTCAAATACTAAAATACTACCCACTCAAACTAAAATGACTAAAGAAACGATGAAAATTATTTTTTCAGATAGTTATCTGGAGTCGACATTTATGTCCTTATTTTATTGCTCAAATGATTTAGATAAGTTTATCAATATTACACTAGCCTGAATTAAGAATTTTTTACAGCTTGTCCCATTTTTTTACACGTAATCCTGATAAATGGATTTTCTCATATAATCGACTTTCATCNAAATGCCTCTGTTTTTCGTACGAAACTGTTTTTTGAGTCGCTATTAAAGTGAAACCATTGTTATCAAATTTCGTATGTAAACATTTTAATTACGACATTCTTTTTCTTATCACTTTCACACATAATGTACTCACTATAGTTTATCTTACTTCTACCCGGCTATTTAAAGCAACAAAGCTTCATCAATTGAGTGTGTAGCGAACGAAATTCTTTAAAATGATTCTCAAAAAAGAAAAATCACACCCTGTACTTTAAGGACCTCTTAATTTTTATTCAGTGTAAATTCTTTAAAAGTACATTCCGTGGTACCCAGGGTTTAGTGCAGTTTAATTTACTTCCGTTTCAACTGTATAAGATTTCAAATGCAAATCTATAATCTAGTAATTTGTTCAATTAATTCACGTTAATTTTATTAATTCCCTGATCGATCGATTCATGAATTTTGTAAAGATTCGTTCCTACTTACCTACACTGCTACGTTGTTCATAAAACTACATCAATATTCGAATAGAAAAACAGATGAAAAGCACCTACCTACTGCAATTAAAAACAATACCTTTAGAAACTAATAGCAGTTTTAATTCAACAAAAAAAAAACAAAGCCAATCAAAAAATAGCATAAATTAACAATAGCATTCCGTAACTGCCAGATAATAGGCTCTACCCCACATCATAATTTCAAGCTGAAAACATGATCAACATCAACTGCAAATCTGTCACTAATTACCCTATTGTTTTGTTTTAATCTAAAGCTGGAACAGTAAATTTAATGTATTGGGTCAAACACAACAAATCTTACTAATAACGAGATAATATGGATAAAGGTATTTTCTTTCCGAATGTTACATTTGTCAGAATTGAACATAAGTCATAGCAAAGTTCTTAAATGAAAGTTTTACAAGGCAAAAAGCTTCTATTTTTGAATTGTTTTGAAATTGCCATAAAATTTTTGATAAGTAACAAAATTGTTTCTCTATCACAATTGTTTCATTATATTACTTTCGATTATTCAAGCGAGCTTACCAAATCAGGTTAGATTACTTGGTAAATGTACTGTAACAGCAATACAATTGTTATGTATTAAAAATTATGTGATTTTCATTGCCTTTAGTTTATAAGAATAACATTTTGGGTTATTTAAACAAAAATATCTCTATCGTTTTTACTATCAGATACAGAATAACAGTTTTTGGCATTTTATTAAAAACATATAACAGGCTCAATTTCTCTACATGTAATTACTAATTCCCGAAAAAAAAGAGAGAATTAGGCAGATTTAACGTCAAAAGATCTTTGTTGATCTGCATTTTAGGAAAAAGTGATCAGTCACCAAATCAAAAGTATGACAAGAGACGAAACGTCGAACACTTTTGACGCCACCGTGTTACGTCATGGTGATTTCATCAAAAAGACGCGATTTGAATCCGGAAATCCAGTTTCATCAGACAATAGCCGCGAATGCCTAAATCCTAAAGTCCTACAATCTTCGTAGATCTGAAAAAATGTGCTGTCCTGTTCTTCAAACATTATCTTAAACTAGACTTTCAAATCTAGACAGTTTCGTCAAGGTCTTCGTTTAAATCATTTTTTGTTTTGCAGATATGTCAACTAACCCATTCCCAGCAATTACAATAAATCCTCAGCTGTTTGTACAGCAATTTGATCAACCCTCAAGCATTGGAAAAATAATAACTGATGATCGTAGCAGAAAAATAATATCTAGCATGCCCTTGTTTGCCGCAGCAACTATTATCCAAAAAAGCAACTGCCCGGAAAAGAGCGAACGCGATTGTTTTAAATGCAAATTAATTAGGCGTCTCTGGATGGTTACAGTGAACATGTACGACATCATGGGTTTATTGGACATATGTCCATGCAGCACGCTACACTATATCAGACCGTACATAAGTTACGAGGTGTTGCCCAAATGCTAAGTCTAATTCTAACTAACTTCTATATTTTTCGCAATGTATGTTATCGGAAATTGTAAAAAATAGTAAAGAATTTACCAAAGCAATCAGTATTTATATATCACTAGTGACCCGCCCCAGCTTCGCACGGGTGCAACGCTGATACTAAATATATTTTTGTTTTGTTTCGATTATTATCGAGAAGGGAAAATCTTCAAAAGTACCCCCTGAACATACTAAATATACCACAGAATGTCTTTATATACAACATTCACAGTTTTTTTGTCATTAGACAATATATACCGGCCTCCCGGCCGGTACCGCCGCAACCGCTATGTCCCTGCATTTTAAATCTGTAATATCTTCGAAAATATTCATTTAAATTACATGCTGTAAAGGGCCATATTGATCTATATTAAATGCACAATGTATTTAAAAGTACTTAATTGGATAAGGATTAATGCTGTATTGCTTAAAATCGCTTCGTAAATAAGCCATTATTTCTCGTAAAAAGTAAAGGATAAAAAATGGTTAATGTGGGTTATCCCTAAAAGGTAGACATATACCATCCCGGACTTTTTGTAGACCTTTTTAAGGTGTACAATACGATAGTATATTATTTTGATCTATCTCGTAGGGCTCAGCCAGCGTTTGCAATGTAAGCGCAAAAAAGTGTTTATGTACATCACATTACAAACCTCTAAAATTATCAGGGTTTCTCTACTATATTATGCATGTATTATACATATAAACCTTCCCCTTGAATCACTCTATCTTTTAAAACAAAACGCATCAAAATCCGTTGCGTAGTTTTAATGATTTAAGCATACATAGGGACAGACAGCGGGAAAGCGACTGTGTTTTATACTATGTAGTGATTTATTATTGTAAGTACATTCAGTGGTACCTAGTCAAGGTTTAGTGAGGTTTAATTTAATAACGAATCCGGCTCTCCATGGAGCATGTAAAGGAAGAACTTCAGAAAAGCATAAATATCAATTGGTGTTGGCCCAGAAAATGATTACGTCTGACAGAGCCAGCGATACATAAATATAATTGAACAGCTTAATTATAAAATAAATAAAGAAGTATGTTTGTATGTTCACAATTGAATTTATTTCTTCCCGAAATTTACCCCAGAAGCTTTGGCAACCCCAGTAAGGAAAAGGAAATGGTGTTGTCGAGAGACTTTTTCAACTTAATACGTCAATATAATTTTGTTTTAATGTCAAGCATTAAAATGTTTTATTCACTGTAATAATGAAAAGAATGAACGGGTCCTTTCGTTTTGCTATAGAGTTTACACTGCAAATGCCTCCTTATTTCGTACGAAACTGTTTTTGAGTCGCTATTAAGGTGAAACCGTTCTTATCAAATTTTGTATGTAAACATTTTAATTACGACATTCTTTTTCTTATCACTTTCACACATAATGTACTCACTATAGTTTATCTTACTTCTACCCGGCTATTTAAAGCAACAAAGCTTCATCAATTGAGTGTGTAGCGAACGAAATTCTTTAAAATGATTCTCAAAAAAGAAAAATCACACCCTGTACTTTAAGGACCTCTTAATTTTTATTCAGTGTAAATTCTTTAAAAGTACATTCCGTGGTACCCAGGGTTTAGTGCAGTTTAATTTACTTCCGTTTCAACTGTATAAGATTTCAAATGCAAATCTATAATCTAGTAATTTGTTCAATTAATTCACGTTAATTTTATTAATTCCCTGATCGATCGATTCATGAATTTTGTAAAGATTCGTTCCTACTTACCTACACTGCTACGTTGTTCATAAAACTACATCAATATTCGAATAGAAAAACAGATGAAAAGCACCTACCTACTGCAATTAAAAACAATACCTTTAGAAACTAATAGCAGTTTTAATTCAACAAAAAAAAAACAAAGCCAATCAAATAATAGCATAAATTAACAATAGCATTCCGTAACTGCCAGATAATAGGCTCTACCCCACATCATAATTTCAAGCTGAAAACATGATCAACATCAACTGCAAATCTGTCACTAATTACCCTATTGTTTTGTTTTAATCTAAAGCTGGAACAGTAAATTTAATGTATTGGGTCAAACACAACAAATCTTACTAATAACGAGATAATATGGATAAAGGTATTTTCTTTCCGAATGTTACATTTGTCAGAATTGAACATAAGTCATAGCAAAGTTCTTAAATGAAAGTTTTACAAGGCAAAAAGCTTCTATTTTTGAATTGTTTTGAAATTGCCATAAAATTTTTGATAAGTAACAAAATTGTTTCTCTATCACAATTGTTTCATTATATTACTTTCGATTATTCAAGCGAGCTTACCAAATCAGGTTAGATTACTTGGTAAATGTACTGTAACAGCAATACAATTGTTATGTATTAAAAATTATGTGATTTTCATTGCCTTTAGTTTATAAGAATAACATTTTGGGTTATTTAAACAAAAATATCTTTATCGTTTTTAATATCGGACACAGAATAACAGTTTTTGGCATTTTATTAAAAAGTTACAACAGGCTCAATTTCTCTACATGTAATTACTAATTTCCGAGAAAAAAAAGAGAGAATTAGACAGATTTAATGTCAGGAGATGTTCGTAGATCTGCATTTTAAGAAAAAATGACTAGTGACTAAATCTAAAGGGTCCAACAGAGAAACAGGGTAGTCTTTTTAATAAAATAAAAGTAATGTTAGTATTTGTTTTACTTCTACTTACTATGAATCTTAACTTTCGCCAAAGCCTAACCCCTTTCATATTTACTCCTAAATTCATTAATTCCGTTAAAAATGAACTAATAAAATTGCTCTTAACTGAATGATGATTGTCTTACATAGCTGTAAATATGTTGTTTGTTTAATAATACAAAATCATCGTTTTTAAAATTGAACAACGCATTTTGTTGCAAAACACGGTCCTATCAAAAAGTGCACGAGGAAGACAACGTGCTCGGATATGATAAATAATCTACGCATATGTATTTTTTCTACTTTATTTGGATATTATTTATAAACTACTTGCGCAAAGACTATTATACACTTGTCTTCTTTGGACCCAAATATATACAGGGTGTATAAGGAAACCCTTTATTACGAAAAATACCATGTATGGACAACGAATATGGTTATTTTAATTTCATAATAATTCCAAAAGTAATTTCGTACCCAAGAGTAGCAACAATTTCGTGTACAAGTAAAATGTCTAAAAGAATATTTATAAAGAAATTTTATGACATTAAGTAGAGATGCACCGGATAGTAATTTACCCGGCCCATTCCTAATATTAAGTTCATAGAGTACAACTTTACATTTCTTTATTTGAATGAATAGTTTAAAGATAGAAGCATAAAACAAATAATAACGCAGGGCCGAGTAGAACAGAGAGCTGTATGGAAGAAGAAATACGAAAAGGGATCTTCTGATACATGAAGCGGCAGTTAGAAACATTTACATTACTGTTTGTAAATTGTTAGAGGTGTGGGAACATAAGTTGGGCAAGTAAATGTCTTAGTAAGGTCCTTGTTTAATATTTGAAATACTTCAAGTAGCAGCAAATATCAGTAGATGTCATTATTCTATATTATATAAACATGCTTAGGTATATGAAGCATCTTCAGTTTACTTGGTGTTCTATTGAGACAATCTGTGGTGTGCCGAGGAGATCAAATAAAACTAATATAACGATTCACATCTGGTAATTTCGACCATTTACTGACCAAGAACTTCATCCGTTCTTTTAAGAAGGACTGGGGTTGTCCATTTGTCAGGGACCATCGGACCCATCCCCGATCATTTGTGAAAATGAAAACTGCGTCTGAAATTAATGTTATAAATATATAAAAAAATACAACAGTTTTATTTGAAGAATGAGCTACTGTTCGACCACGTTTTGGCAAATTTATTGCAATCTTCAATACCAGAAAATCTTGGAATTCATATCTAAATTGATTTAAACTAACTCTACACCGAATTTTACTGTACTAGGGATGTTTATGACAGCATTTTAAAAGTAAACAAACAAACGACAAAATATGGGCAGCGTTTTTGTACCAAGAAGATAGAAACTCATATCAATTAAAGCAACGCTTTCTGTGAAAGAATTTTTAGTCTCATGTTCAACTTATGAATGAAAGAACGAATCCGCCTCTCAATGTAAAGAAAGAACTCGAGAATAGAATAAATATCAATTGGTCTTGATCCACAAAATGATTACGTCTGCCAGAGCCACCGATAGATAAATGAAATAGAACAGCTTNCAATACGATAGTATATTATTTTGATCTATCTCGTAGGGCTCAGCCAGCGTTTGCAATGTAAGCGCAAAAAAGTGTTTATGTACATCACATTACAAACCTCTAAAATTATCAGGGTTTCTCTACTATATTATGCATGTATTATACATATAAACCTTCCCCTTGAATCACTCTATCTTTTAAAACAAAACGCATCAAAATCCGTTGCGTAGTTTTAATGATTTAAGCATACATAGGGACAGACAGCGGGAAAGCGACTGTGTTTTATACTATGTAGTGATTTATTATTGTAAGTACATTCAGTGGTACCTAGTCAAGGTTTAGTGAGGTTTAATTTAATAACGAATCCGGCTCTCCATGGAGCATGTAAAGGAAGAACTTCAGAAAAGCATAAATATCAATTGGTGTTGGCCCAGAAAATGATTACGTCTGACAGAGCCAGCGATACATAAATATAATTGAACAGCTTAATTATAAAATAAATAAAGAAGTATGTTTGTATGTTCACAATTGAATTTATTTCTTCCCGAAATTTACCCCAGAAGCTTTGTCAACCCCAGTAAGGAATAAGAAATGGTGTTGTCGAAAGACTTTTTCAACTTAGTACATCATTATAATTGTGTTTCAATGTCAAGCATTAAAACGTTTTATTTACTGTAATAATGAAAGGAATGTACGGCCCCTTTTGTTTTGCTATAGAGTTTACATTGTAAATGCCTCTGTTTTTCGTACGAAACTGTTTTTTGAGTCGCTATTAAAGTGAAACCATTGTTATCAAATTTCGTATGTAAACATTTTAATTACGACATTCTCTTTCTTATCACTTTCACACATAAATGTACTCACAA